CTGTCTGCCTATGCTGTGCGTCTCACTGTTTTAAGAGGTTACTCTAACACTGGGACAGTTATCTCCTGTCCTCAAGGAGATTGAAGTTTAAGTCAGATATCTTTGGAACCAGCAGATGAGAGAAAACCCAGACAACAGAGCCAGTATGGAACAAGGACAGACATAACTACTATTGTCCTACAAAAATCCTAAGGCGTAAGTATATCCATTCATTCTCGCTAAAGTGGACATGTCTTATCTTAGTGCTGAGCATGGTCTGTTATAAGATGTTTTCCAGTTAGTTTAATCATTGCCCGCCCCCTCTGATGATGAATTTACTTACTTAAGAAAAAGGATATAAAAAATGGCTGATGTTTTAATGTTTATTATTTATTAGTTCCAACATTTTTGAGGTCCTACTAATGTGCCACAAACTATGTGCTTGGTGCTAGACATTATGACTTTAATCGGAGTCCCGTATACATCAGTACTTTGACCACTTCTTAGGCAATAAAACACTTTAGACCATTTTCACTCATTTCCTTCTTCAGGGTTTTGTGTTATTTTTGTCACGTTTTCATTCTACAGATACGTAAAATTCTCTAAGACATTACAGCTACTGTTTTTTGAAGTCAGTATTTATTCAGAATTCCTGACACTACATTTTTTTGTTACTGTTCGTTCTTTTCAGTATTTCCTTTCTTCTCTGTGCTGGTAGTCATTTCCTTCAACTTGGAAAAACTCCCTTTGGGATTTCTTAAAATACAGGTCTGAGGGTGACAAATTGTCCCAGCGTTTTGGTCTGAAAATGTCTTCAGTTCATCTTCCTTTCTGACGGATCCTTTCTACTGTTTATTGAACTCTAGGCTGGCAGTTACTTTCTTTTCGTACTTGCACGATGTTGCATTATGGCTTCTATCGCTTCTGGTGAAGAATCGTCTGTGCAACTGTCATTGTTCCCTTCCAAAGTAATAATGTCTGTTTCTTTTGACTGCTTTTATGATTTTCACACTGTATTTTGCCTTCGGCAGTTTAATTATTCACATTAAACTCTGTGGTTAATTATTCACATTCGAAAGTGTGAATCTGTATTCTGCTTGGGGTTCATAGGACTTCTTGAATCTGCGGCCTGGGCTTTCGTCAGTTTTAGCAAATTCTTAGCCCTCTGTCTCCAGATATGGCTCTGTCTTGTTCTCTTTTCACGATGCTTCATATGTCTTTAAAACTTCTCTCTATATTTCCCATCCTTTTGTCTCTGCCCTTCAGTCTGAATAGTATGCAGTGCCTGCTTCTAATTATTACTAGACTCTACGTGTCTATTAAAACTCTTCATCTTGTCATCTTTTTTCTTAAATACATGCATCCAAGTCTTTTAAAGTCTTTGTCTCCTAATTCAGTATCTGCATCACTTATTTTTCTCTTGATATGCCTGATAATTTTTAATTGAATTCTGGGCACTGCGTATGAAAACTCACAGAGGCTCTGGAAGAAGTTTTCTTCTTCCAGAAGGAACTGCTTTTGGCAGGCAGTTTGGCAAGGGGCAGATCGCTTTAACCCGATCAGGGACTGAGCTGATTATTTACTGCTGAGTTTCAACGTCTGTAAAAGTGTTGTCTGTTTCTGCTTCACCATTATTTTTACAGCATAAGCCTTCAAGGGTCCTAATTAAAAAGTCTTTTCTCTTTGGGAGGCTCTGAACTCCAATTTCTGTTTTCTCAGCCCCATGAAAGTGCCAGGAGTCCTGCTTAGCTTCTTAGCTTTGTAGCCAGCACTTTCTGCTTCATGCCTCAGCCTTTTCTTTTTGCACTGAATTGGGGAAATGCCTCAAGGGGAAAAGGGGATGCTGAAACTCGGGTTCACATTTACCTTCTCTCTGAAATCTCAGCCACTCAGGTGCTTGCTTGGGTAGTAGCCCTCTGCTGACTTCAACAGATTTAAAATAAAAATTTCTTGGGGCGCGTGGGTGGCTCAGTCAGTTAAGTATCCGACTTCCACTCAGGTCATGATCTCGCCGTCCATGAGTTTGAGCCCCACATTGGGCTCTGTGCTGACAGCTCAGAGCCTGGAGCCTGCTTCAGATTCAGATCTACCTTATTTATTTCTCCCTCTCTCTCTGCCCCTTTCGCATGTGCATGCACGCTCTCTCTCTCTCTCTCTCTCTCTCTCTCTCTCTCTTTCTCTCAAAAATAAATAAACATTAAAAAAGTTTTAAAATAAAAATTTCTCCATCCTTTGTAGTTGTCCTTGGCAGGAGAATTGTTCTGATACAAACTAATCAGTCATAGCCAGAAACCAGCAGTTTAATTTTTTAAAAGTTATTTCCAACAAATCATGGAAACCATGTAGATTTCCCCAACTAGAGTTATTTCCAATTTGGGGAAACCAGAATCCTTCTTACTCTCTAATTCTGTAATTGTGACCTAATGTAATTTCTTCGATTATAAAACAATTGGGTCTGAACCAGTAGAAAAGAATAGACACTGGTCTCTGGCTGGTCACATGGGAAGTGCCCTGTTCTCATCAAGCACACATCTATTACCGTCTCACAGTCAGTGTCTTTTATACCTTCTTGTGTAACTTACTGCATCACGCTGGAACCATTTGTTTACTTGTCCATCTCTGCTTGACTGGAAGCTGGAAATCTGCCTTATTTACCTTTATATTTTCAGTCTCTTACCACAGTGTCTGACATTTAGAAGGTGTTCAGCAAATGCTTTTAGAATAAAGGGTTCTTCTAGGTAAGGTTATTTATATAAATGGAGAATACCCGTTAAATTTTCATTAGTAGTATTTGAATTCAGAAAGGCTATTTTTGTCTGTGTTTTGGTTTTGCCTCTGACCATGCCCCACATTTTGGGTGAATACCCTACTTAACAGTCTGTATTCGATTCGACGAATTGAATATGTTCAGAGGGATTCTCAGGCTCCCTGGGTATTGGGACAGAGGAAGAGACCTGACAAAATCCAAGAAGGAAAGAGGGCGATGACATGGACATTATTAAATGGCTGTCAGGAGATTAGTGCTCACTTTTGCCAGCATCCCAGAAAAGTTTTTAAAATTCAGAGTTGAATAAAATGTAGAACGGGATAAATAAGGAATGCCATACTCTCCTGGAGTCATGATCTGTCTAGTCCAGTGGTCTGATTCTACCTCCAGCAAACTTTCTTCTTACTAGTGCTTCCTTCATTTTTTATTGGCTTAAGACATGCATGGGAACACTTAGGTTTTATTTGAATCAGGTATGTATTTCTTGCTATATATTATTAAAACTTAAAATAGAGTCCTATTAGATAATCCTGTACTCAAACTGTTCTGTACAAATGAATACCTCACATACTTGGCTTTCCATTCCAGGTGACTAGTATCCAGATTCCACTAAATTTATAGTAAGTATACTTCTCTATTTGAAATTAATGTTGGACTTACTTAAATGAAGGATCTGGTTAACTGACAGATATCTTCCTGTCTTGCAGGTTCAGATCTTTCTTCCTGCTTAGCATTTAGTATTTCCAATAACCTGAACCAACAGAGATGCTCGTAACAGTTGCATGGACTTCTTTTACTCATTTGCATATGCCCCAGAAATGTACCATCCCATGGTAAAAAAGTGGAAATCCAAAAGATTCTTATTTTTATTCCCCAACATCGCCTAGCTCCATCACACTGCCGGTCAGTTCTGTGTGTTTCCTACCTAACATGCCCAAATCAAAGCCAAATGAAATGTCTTCCTAAGACTTTTCTTACGATTATTGAAATAAAAAATATATTTCTATTATTCCAGTTTCTGTTTATGATGGAATAGCTTGATCATCTATAGGTAAGAATAGTGATGAAATCTGGACAGTTTGAAATTACTGGAGAATAGCCTGAAGCAGGCAGGAACTGAATAAATCTAAACTTGAGAGACAATGGCTGACATTTATTTGTGAATTTTTGCCGGAGGGCATTCTCCAGTCTTGGGTCAGGGACCCAAACAGAGGTGTCAGAGGATAGAGTTCAAGACCAATAGAAAACCAGCAAAAAAAAAAAAGGAAAATGTGATACTTAAAGGAAAAAAGTCAACAGAAACAGACCCTGAGGTGACACAGATGTCACAATGAGCAGACAGTGACTTTTGAGGCAGCTGTTATAAATAGGTTCAAGCACCTAAAGGAGGATAAAAACATTGAATTCACACTTGAGGAATTGCAGCAGAGAAATAGAAACTATAGAAAAGACCACAAGGAAATTCCAAAGCTGAAAAGTACAATTAACAGGAATGGAAAATTTACTGAATGGCGTTAACAGCGGACTGGAAACGACAGACGACAGAATCCGTGAACTAGAAGATCAATAGAAATGATCTAATCTGAAGAACCGAAAGAAAAAAAGAAAACGCGTATCTTAGGTGAGGGCGGGAATAAAAGTAAGTCAGGATTGAAGTGAATGCTCCGTGCCAATAAATTCTAGCAATCAGTTCTTCAAAGAAAAAAATTTTAAAATATACAAAACCTGGATTTCGAACATCTGATCCTCGTAGTGTCCCCCGCCCTGCAAGGGGGAAGAGGGAACATATTACCTGACTTCAAAGCCGTGTGTTTTTGTTGGCTTTCATAAGATTCGTCCTCTCACGTGGCCATAGGTTTCTTAGCTTTCTGTTCTCTTCTTCCTCTCTGTTCTCTTCCATTCCTTCCAGTGGCTAATGGCCTTTTTCTTCTGTGTGCTGTATTCAGGAACCAGTTAATTATGAAATGGAAGACAACTTCTGACAGAGGACCAAGGCAAAGGAAGCCTGTGAGATTGGTCATCCTATATGGCTTTATTCTTAAGTGGTGCAGTCTCCTGCTGTATTCCACTTTAACTGCAATTTCTGAGTTCTTGATCTTGCAAATCAGAGTGAATCATTGCGTTATTTGTAAGCACTGATCTTTCTTAATGAGAGTCTGTGATTACAAAACACCAAATGGTATTTCAACGTAAGTGTATTTTAACGATTGATCCCTGAAGGCACAATTCTGTTTCTTTTGGTTGTATTTTGTAGGTGTTTCACCAAAACCAGCAGCACTTTCAGCAGCAACCCCCTTCCTGTGGTCCCAGTGGTAGCACCTTATCCTCACGATGGCTTGGAAATGAAGCCCCTCAGTCACATGAAGGTGCCCGTATGTCTGGCTTCCACAGCCCCCGACTGTAGCCAGTCACCTGAGGAGAGCTTCAAAGATGACACGGCACCAAGACCTGCTCAGCATACTTGCTGTCAGGACAATAGAAATGACATCGACATTGAGTGCACAGAAGATACAGCAGAGTTCAGCAGAGGTACCGGGAGCCATTAGCAATCTCAAGTTTCATGTGCAAATACTGTTCACATAATCTAAAACAATTTTCCCCTCATACGGTTGTTTTTAGAATGCACAGAATAAGCTGTTCCCAGATCTGTCTTCTATAGTTTACAAAAATACAAGAGTTCACATAAGTCATTTGCAAGAAGAATGGAAATGGGGGGAAAGGGATCGTTTCTGCGTCTTTCCATGTTTGTGAAAATTGGAGTGCTCTATCCCACTGGTGTGTGTTGGGGGGAAAATCCCATCATAATTTCAGAGTACATAACGGGCTCACTCCTTTTCTCACACGTGTAAAATATAGTTACAGCAATTTCTCTGTCTAGTTAGACAACATATTATCTGGTAGCAGAATTGTGTATGTTAATTTAATGCATTTCCCCATACATTTCCCAGGGTATAGTCAGAAACCATTCTATCCCTACCAGAAAAATAAAAGGTTCTTAGTAATGCCATCAATCCAGTCATATTTGATAGCTTAGGGACAGAATCACTGTGTGTAAAGATGCTTTTAATAATTTCAAACCATCTGTGATACAAACATAAAAATGATAAACATGTGAAAAATGTTTCCCAAGTTCCATTAAACTACGTGCTTTAAGAAAAAAGAAAGAAAAAAGAAATCTTAAGTTTCAAGCTAGTCTTCAGTTACTTAAGACCTATATGAAGGAAGTTGCTTTTTTCTGTGATCAGCTCACATATTTCTTAAATAGTAGGTGGGGTTAGTGGGTACTTCAAAAAAGTTGACGATACAGGGAATTCTGTGAAATTCTGTTATCCACATCCTTCAGCTCAGGCTGTTAATCCCATTACATTTTGGAGAATAAATCCAAATAGGCTTTGATTCAGTTTGTACCTGAACAGTAGACTTGTGGGGCAATGCATTTTGTGATCATGGGCCTCTTTTACATTTGCATTAATTCTGGAGTTGTAGCCTTTCTTCTTTCTTTCTTTCTTTCTTTCTTTCTTTCTTTCTTTCTTTCTTTCCTTTTTTCTTTCTTTCTTTCTTTCTTTCTTTCTTTCTTTCTTTCTTTCTAAATGTTTATATATTTTATTTAGTTTTGAGGTGGAGGGGATTGAGAGAGAGAGAGAGAGAGAGAGAGAAAATATCTCAAGCAGGCTCCACGCTATCAGTGTGGGGCCCTATGTGGGGCTCAAACCCACAAACTGTAGATCATGATCTGAGCTGAAATCAAGAGTCAGACGCTTAACTGATGGAGCCACCAGGTACCCCTGTAGCCTTTCTTTATTATTTTTTTTTTTTTGTAGACTTCCTTTAAAAAGAATTTTTTTTTTTGAATGTGTGTTTATTTTTGAGAGAGACCCCATGCAAGCAGGGGAGGGGCAGAGAGAGAGGGAGACACAGAATCTGAAGCAGGCTCCAGGCTCTGAGCTGTCAGCACAGAGCCCAACGTGGGGCTCAAACTCAGGAACCATGAGATCTCAGGTCACACCTGAGCCGAAGTCAGATGCTTAACCTACTGAGCCACCCAGGCGCCCCTGTAGCCTTTCTTTAAAGTGGTTATTTGCAGGGTTTTAAGGGGTTTTTGCTTTTAGCCCTCAGATGAATTGTACAACTGTCCATGAGAGCTCAGCTTTATTTTAGATCTTTGAAACCTACTTCCTCTCTCAAAGTCAAACTCAACACAACTGGCTCTACTCTCGCTCATGATTCTTTCTTTATTGATCAAAGTAGTATTTTTAGACTGTGTTGTGAGAGTCAGCTTTATGATTTCCTAATGCTCCTGAACCTTTGTGTTTTTCAGGAGACAGCTGTGTCCATTCAGAAACAGAGAACAAAATTTTAAGTTGGAATCCTCTTACTTTGCCACATGGGTCGAAGGACTGTACTGAAAAGACAGCGTGGTCTCCTCCCGGCATTCCTCTAGACAGCCCTTCAGGGGTCCTTCAGCAACCCCAAGAAACCTGAGGATGTGCGTACGACTGGTCATGCTCCCACTTCAAGCCAGTACCTGCACAAAACAGGCCTGGGGATGGACTGTGTGAAGGACATTCATTCAAATCAGAGAAAATCGTTATTTATTTTTTGTAGTAGTAATGTCATATGAATGTATCTTAAATGGTGTGCCCTTTTTTATTATTTATGCCTTAACAATTCCTATTCCTCCCTCCCCCTCAGTAGGAAACCTAGTTTTGCGTAGTTTTCAATCATCTGAGAGCAGTGGTATCATTCCATGTTTCCGAGAACATCAGTGACCAGAAGAGCTCCTCTTGCAAGGATCCAGCCTGTTGGCCGATACGGCTTGACAGGGAACTGATCTGGCTGTTCGAAGTTTTCAGATGGAAAGCTGGCTTTTGATACTGTGTTTATTATTATTGAGAACATTTGAAATCACCCTCACCTGTCACCTAGTGTTTATAATAGCAGGTCTCTTTTGAATTTTAGGAGTGCCTTCCACAGAAGTGATAGGGGACCTGTTGACTGTCTGCACATGGGCACAAATTATGTTCCGTTTTCCAGACACTAGTGACAAAGTGTCATGAACATGGTTTGAGGTTAAGGTCTGTGGGGTTATTGCATTTTGCAGAGAGGGAACCGGGGCCAGAGAGAAAAATGAATGTCCTCAGGTCCCACTACCTTAAAATTGGATTGGTTTATAAAATCATCACTGTGGGGCTCTTTTTGACTGTTCTGAGAGTAGGAACAACATAAGTTTAAAGTGGCGACTTGAAAAGAAAGACCCACATTGTGCTCCCGGTGTCATGCCACCCGAAAATTATTATTTTCCAGCTTCCAACATGGGCAATGCTTGGAAGACGTGAATGTCAGAAAAGATTTAATTTGGAGGGAAAGGGGTATGGTCTGAAATTTCCTGACTTTTTTCAGAATGTCGTCATTGTAAACAGGCACCTGAAGCTTCGGTTAGCAGAGCTCATAAATCACAGTTACTGCTCCCTCTGAGTGGCGAGGACATTTGCAGCTGCCTTTGGAAGGCTTTTCTTCTCCACATCTAAAAAAAAGAAACAAAAGCTCACAAAAAAACACTGCTACTATTTAATAGCTATTTTAATAGCTTTTGAGTCAAGCTTTAATGGATCACTGCTTATTTTTGGATTGTGCATCCCTTGGGGGGATAAAAAAACAAAATGATTCTCTTTATGTAGAGTCAAACAGTTTCAGCATAAATGAAAAAAGCTTCTTTCCCAAAAATTGCAGTGAAATAGACTAGAATACTATGTTAATCAACTGTTTATGTAAATGCATCAATATTCCCTTACATATGTCTATATATTTTATAAATAGAGCTGTTAGCGAAATAACGCTGTTTGAGCTGGGTCACTCTGCGAGAATGTCTTCGAGTGGAATGTAGTGAATATAATTTCAGGGTCCGGTATCAGGGGTGCTGTAGAATCAAATTCTGCATTCCAGATGTCCATACCTGTAGTATGCTGGATTTGTGCTTCATGTGGTGTAGATACAATTGGCTTTGGAGGGGGATATCTGCATCCCTTCTGTGATTAGCAAAGGACGGAGTCCTAGTGCACAGAATATGAAACCATGCCCTGTGTTTGCCCACCAACTCACAGCCATGCGGTCACAAAGGGAGTATGACAAAACTGGCAGTAAATGATCGTAGGCAGTCATTTTGATTCAGGAAACAGAGGTATATTAGCATGAGCCTTAGGTCATAAACTGCTTTTAAAGATTGAGTTTGAATATGGGATTTGTCCACCCGGTAGAGGAGACAACTTTTACCTTTAGGGCAAACTCATTGTGGACTGCTTTATTTATATTATTAGTAACGCTGTTTTAAGTGTTATCCCTTTTATTGTATTTTATTTATTAAAAAAATGCCTTTATATATTGAGACATAAATATAAATATAAATATATAAATATATATATATATATATATATATATACAGTTGCCTTACTGTTCAGGAGTTCTGCATTCTCCCTGACCTTGAGTTATTCTGAACTTGTATGACCTGCACAGTCAACCAGCAACCGTCCTGCCTGCTGTCGGCTTCCCCGGGAAGTCCGAGGACATAGCACAGGGTGGGAGATGGCCCTAACATTTGTGGAGTAGCTGCGGTGGACCAGGCACCGTGCTCAGTGCTGGCCTCTGCTATCTCGTTAACCCTCACAGCAAATCTGCAACATAGCCAGTCACCCACCACAGAACCTGAACTTTAGCCCAATTTATCTGGAGCCGTAATCTGGGCTCCTTCCATTTTTTTCCATACCGCTTTCCAAAAGCATGTGGTTCCCTCTTTCGATGGAACCGGTCCAGTTCTGTGTGCTCTCCTCCCCTGCCGCATGGTGCCTCCGATGCCCTGACCCCACAGCCTGAGAAGCTGTGCTCGGTCCTGCAGGGGCAGAGCTGCGTGCTCTGGCTCTTTCCAGAGTCCCTGTTTCTCCCCAGGACACCCCTCACCTCTTCCTACACACACCCCCCCCCCCCAGCCCCGCCAGGGAATGTGATCTTCCCTCGGCTTAGTGAGCATCTCACTGGTCAGGCCTCTTCATGTGCCTTCTCGTCTTAGAATTCTCTGTGGTTCTTTGTTTTAGCATCAAACTTCCCCCGCTCCTGTCGTATCGGTTCACTATCTCCTTTTTTTCCATCACGTACCGATAGTCTGGTGATGGGTGCCGTACAGGATGTAAGCGAAATTGCAATGTTTTCAGCCTTTTGAAGTGGTCTTTTAGGAAAGCATTTCTGGGTTGTGTTTATGTTGAGTGAGTCTGTGAACACCAATACGTCTGTATCAGGCCGACCATGTCCCAACGATCATTCCAGATACAGTACTGCAAAGAGCTTAATTTCAGAACTGAATTTCACCTGTGTTGCCCTTTTACAGCAATGACTTTGAGATGCATGTCTTTGTATCATATTGAAAAGTGTGTTTTTATTTTCCTTCAAGTTGTAATATTCTGTTTGGAACTGTACATATTTTAAGTGATGTAGCTTTGACAGGTTTTATCTGGTTGATACGACTTTATATTAAAAAGGGAATGCTGCTTTCCTGTAGAGTAGCACGTGAAAATGGGGATCCTGAGATACTCCCTGTTTGTATAAAGCTGCTTATAGCTTGTGATGGGGGTGGGTGGGTGTATGTCTTAATCTGAAATTCTTTGGAACCTCCATCCCTGTCCTCCCCTGAAAATCCCTGTGTGCGCCCCAGAGCCAAGCGAGTTAATCCCTCCTGTTCTGACCGAAGAGATCCAGGCCCTGAAGGAACAGGATCTAGGACAACAAGAGTTTTGTGGGGAGGCTGGGAAAATGCCTGAGCCAAAGAGCTGTGTGGAAGGAGGCAGACTGCCTGCGGGGGTTGGGGGGGAAACTCAGTATCTCTTTGGAAGGAAGACAGGAGGGAGGGAGAGGAACGCGGGGAGGAGAGTGGTCTGTGTTTACCATTAACTTGGAGCTACATCGGTGTGAACCCCTGGGTAGACAGCTCGCCTCCTCAGGGCGCAGCCCTAACAAGTCAAAGTGTCTGGGCTGTGGTGACCAGAGAGCCAGAGGGTCTTTGGCATGGGGTGGGGCCTTGTTCTGGTTTATTCCCCATGTTGAAATAAGCCTTCTTTAAACCTTAGCTCCAGTCCTGAGAGCCTTGAGAGAACTTGAAATCCCTTTTCTAATAAAGTCTAAGTCTGTGAGAACCTGAGAAGCAACTTAAGTTTCTGTCCGTCTCCTGTCTCCTTCCAGGCGCCACCTTCCTTATTCCTGGCAAGATCATCCCTTGGCTCTCTTGCTGTTTCTTCTCATCCGAGTCCCCTGCGGAGGCAGCTCTGACTCCTGACTCTTGTAGCCCAGTTGAACAAGCATTCGTTTGTGTTTCCCCCAGATTTCAGACACACGCACACGCACGCTGGAGCCAGTGAGTCATGCTGGCAGCTGACAGGGTACGACTCTGGAAGGTCCCCTGTCAGCCAGCATCCCCCGGGCCTGGTGGCAAGAAGCCGCATCTGGAATACCTCTGCTCTGTCGTGTCGGCACAGACTCCCGGAGTCTAGCGACTCTGTGTCCCTGTGACCACTGCAGACTCCGCGATACTCCTGCACCAAAGGTCGGAGAGGGACAAAGACCCTGGCATTGGCACGTGGCTCCACTACCCCTCTGATTAAGCTGGTCCCATAACCGAAGTTTGCGTTCCTGGGGGAGGAATTTGAGATCTGGAAAGTAAGGAACTCCCAGAAGGGCACCTTCCTTGCTACAGTTGAATGAAGGCAGCACACACCTGCCTACAGGTCTTGCTTCCCATCTCCTAGCTTCCCGCCAGTAGGAGAACCCGGCTGAAGCTGGGGCCGGCCTCTCCCTGTGGGAGTTGCAACTGAAATAAGCCTCCGCCGGTGAGAGCATCACGTACGATTTATTTAGCAGTTTCTCGGTTCACAGGCTTCGTGCGCCAGCAGCTGGCTTGCTCGGCAGAGCGCCAGGCACCGTCCCCAGAACCATCCTCCCCGGCCCTCGGACACCCGCCTGGTCTCTTCTCCAGTTGTGGGTCTTCCTCATCCTTCCACCTCCGGGTTCCACAAGCTGGGTCAGGACTCCTCTTGGAAGCAGGTCCTCCAGAGGCATGGCAGCCTTGTCCTGGTTGTGAAGGCTGGGTGTTCAAGGGGGTGGGGCAGCTGGGGTCTTCGCTTTCTTGGCTCTAGGGCCGACTACACGGAGGGATCTTTCCACTCCCACCTGTCCCTGTGCGTATTTCCACCTAACTCTTGGGGCCTCATGGGGTTGCAGTCACAGTGATGGTGACGTTAACTGGAGCATCCGTGGCTTCTTGCACAGGCTCCACACCTGGGGTGGCGGGTGGGGGTTCAATGCCTACCAAGGACAGACACAAGCAGAGGAGACAGATGCCTCGGGGGCATCCCCGCCTGTTCGCAGGACAAGAGACTGAGCCTCATGCATGAAACTCAGGACTGCTGTCCTTACACATGAGTGGTCCTTGGGACAGAAGCATGCTTACCTGCCTGTTCCTCAAGGCCTTCCCTCGACTCCCTGTATTGATGACTTTGCTCCCTGAGGGTGAAGTGCGAGAGTGAAGTCAGTGACAGCCTCGGTTCCCCAGCCTTCCTTTACAATTAGAGGAAAATCCCGACACACAACCGCCCCCTGCCGCCCCGCCCAGAAGGACGAGGGTTCCACACTCACATGGGAACAAGCAACCGACCAAGGCCTGTAGGAAGAAAAGAAAAGAAGAAGGGGTGTTAACTTGAGCAATCCACCACAGGTCCTTGGAGAGTAGCCCTCCCTTCCTTCGTAGGCCCTGTATTAGAGACTCGGGAGCATAGATGGGGATGGCCTCAGATGGCTGGGGTTGGGGGTTGGAGCCCGGATGAACCGCTAGCATTGAGGAGAAGTTACAGTTAAGGAAGAGCCTAGACTCTTTGCCCAGGGGAAGTCTGCGTCTCTCCTTGGATAGGTCTAGACCTGGCCACCTATGGACTCAAGCAACCCCGCCCTTCAGCTTTCCACTCACAGGGGACGGTCCCCGGGTGCCGGGCAGCATACTGGAACACCAGTAGAGAGGCCACCGTTGCCACCACCACTCCTGTGCCCGCTGCACCCAGCACTGCTGGATAGGCGCTGAAGGGTGGATCCGCTGGGAGGGGAGAGCGCTGGTTACATGGCTTTGGTGCCACTACTGAAACGTGACAATAGCTTAGGGGGCGGCATGCAGGCAATGCCCTGCGGTGAGCAATCAAGAGCAAGACTTGACCCAGAGAATCTGTGAGTCAGGACTTTCCCAAGGAAAGAGGTGCTCTGCCTGCTTTCGAGTCCCCAGCCAAGTCCCCCATTTGTGGCACTGAAGGCCACAGGCCAGTTATCTTGGAGCTTGGGGCCGAAGGGAAGGACACCAGGAAAAAAGGGAGTTTCCGGGAGGGAGACAGAGCAGCAGGAAGCTGAGAGCCCACTTGTGCCCCGGGAGGTGAGACTGAGGCACAGAGTTGGGCCCCTACCCTTCTGGAATCACCGGCATCCTGTGCCTCCCCCTTCCCTATTTCTCTGGATTCAAGCTGAACTGTGGCTCCTACCCCTAGGCCCGGGGCCTCCGGAGCCTCCCAGGGAGGGACGGGAAAGACGGCCGTGACTACCGCAGGGGAGGGTGGAGAAGAGGAAAGAGACCAGGAGACAGGACTTCAAGTGGGAGGGAGGCGGAGGAAAGGAGCAGGGGAGGCCCCGTGAGGAGGAAAATGAAGCGGGGCTCGGTTTGGTGGAGAAAAGGTGAGTCCCTCCATGGCCCTAGCCCCGGCACCTGGTATCTTCACCTCAGAGGGATGTCCAGCCGTGTGGTGATTCAGAGCCAGGACGCGGAAGGCATAACGGACACCTGGGTCCAAGCCCCCCAGCCTCCGGCCCCTGCTCTCTGGCTCAATGTCACTGGCTGCTGTCTCCCAAGCCCCAGCTCCTGGGCTCGGGACACTGGCCCTCCGCTGCACCAGGAAGCCCGTCAGGTTCCCAGGGCCTCGGACGGCCCACTGCAGCTGCACCTCCCTCCGGTGTCTCCCGTAAGTCAGGCGGCTGATGGTGACGTTGGGAGGAGCTGGGTATCCTGGGGGTGAGGGCGGGGACACATACGGCACCTGCACACCTATAACCACATATGTCGGTGTGCTTGCGCCCCCAAATTGATTCCAATGTTGTTGAGAGAGAGCCAGGAGTGCGGCACCACACTGAGGTCTGTAGACCTGATCAGTCCTGTGTAGTTTCAGTCTATGGTGCCCTAGTGTCGTCACCTACAAACTGAGGACGTTATTCTGACAGCATGGAGTGCTGCTGGCCTTTATTCAAGAGTGCATCAGGTTCATCAGGTTCACGTTCAACATCAGCCTGTCTGGGTTTGCGCTTTTGAGGGCCTGTCTGTGCCTGAGGAGTTAACGGGTCTAAATTTTGGAGCCAAGGGGGCACCTGGGTGGCTCAGTCGGTTGGGCATCCGACGTCGGCTCAGGTCAGGATCTCGCGATTCGTGAGTTCAAGCCCCACGTCAGGCTCTGTGCTGACAGCTCAGAGCCTAGAGCCTCCTTCAGATTCTGTCTCCCTCTCTTTCTGCCCCTCCCCCCTTCTCTCTCTCTCTAAAAAATGAACATTAAAAAAATTTTTTTTGTGTTTAATTTTGGAGCAGAGGATTCCTGCGTCTTTCCACCTGCAGGGTTACGGCTAGAGGTTTCCCCATGCCCCTCGCCACGCAAACACCCACTACCCCTCACTCACTCAGGACCTCCAACAGGACGCTCCGACTGCTGTTCCCTAAGGCGTTGCGAGCCACGCACTGGTAGGCGCCCCTGTGGCGTGCTGGGTCAGCCTCCTGGATGCTAAGGTGGAGCTGGGCCCCCTCAGGGTGCAGCATGAATCCAGAAGGGCCAGCTTCCACTTGCTGTCGCTGGGGTCCCAGCCAGAGGAGCTGGACAGGTGGCGTGCCCCCCAGGAGGGCACACCCCAACCAGGCCTCTCCCCCTTCCAGCACGGACACCTGGGGCTTAGCCACTGCCACCTGTGGGGCTTCTGCAGGGACAGAGAGGGTAAGGCTGGAAGGTGTCCCCCGTGCCTGGGCTAGTGGGAAGGCTTGGGGGTAGTCCAGCAGTGGAGGGGATAGGGAGGGGAAACAGAGGAGAGACGGGGCCAGTGGAGTTGGTAGTGAAGCTTGTCTTGGGCCAGTCTGCTGCTTCTTCCAGGATCCCTTCCAGAGTCCTACCACAATCTGGTTCCAGATTTCTTGACAATAGCAGTGTGCCTTCAGGCCCCAGCTCTAGTCTCAGCTCCTATAGGTGGGGCCCCCCTGCCTTATTCACCCCTGTGTTAACCAGCTCCCTCCTAGTACCTGGCATGGGACCTCCTAATACCTCCCTAAATAGCCCACCAGCTCCCACCCCCAGGGCATTGGGCTGGGCCCAGAGCAGATGCTTTTTCTGGACTGAGTCCTAAAGACCCAGAGTTTCAGGTGTCAGTGAATCTCCCAGGATAGAATTTCCAACCCCAAGACTGAGTAATAAGGGAGGGAAATATTCCCAGATGAGGGCCTTCTGAGAGCCCAGGGAGGCTGTCACCAAACCCCTGGAGACCAAGATGTAAATCATTTTGTGCGAACTGCTATATGTGACTGTGTGTTTTCTCACATTTTTCACTTCAGTATTTAACTCTTTTTCGCGGAGTTGGCAATAAAAAGGACTGGCAGGGCCAGATGAGGACAGAGAAGGAAACCAGACCAAAACAAATAGAAGCAGTGAGAGAGGAAGAGAGAGACCTCTGACACCTGAAACACTAATGCAAGGCAGGAATATAATCAGGCACCTCTCATGCAAATTGATGCAAATGAGGGAGGCAGAATCCCTCAGGCAAATGAAGGAGACAGACTCCCTCATGCAAATTGATGCAAATGAGGGAGACAGAATTCCCTCACCGGCTAGACAGGGTGCTGCCCAATAGCGGTAGCCCCTGGTCACACGGGACTGTTGCACACTTGAAAGGGGGCCAGACCACACTGAGATGGATTGTAAGTAAATACACTGGATTTTGAGGACGGTAGAATAAGATACCTCATTCATAATTGTTTATTATTAAACATCGAAGTAATAATATGTTGGATACATTGAGTTCCATAAAATGTTTCTCTTATTTCTTTGTACTTTTTTTAAATGTAAAATTTTAAATTATATATACGGCTCACCTATTTTTATTGGGCAACACAGACCCAGAACAAACCCCCTGACTTTATGGATCGAAACAACTTGAGTTCTGGGAGGTGAGGTGACTCAGTCTCCTGACTCACTTTGCATCCAGCGCAGACACCCCCACCAGAGGCCCTCATCACAATTCCAAAGGGCTGCTCTCCCACCTCAGCCCCAGAACCAAGCCACCAGCCCCTACTCACCCAGCAGGAGCCGGCAGTGAGGGTCAGGGACCCTGAGTGGGTGACTGCCCCTGCAGGTGAACTCTCGGCCAGCCAGATCGTCCTGGGTATGCAGGAGGTGGATGGCCAGTGAGGGGCTAGTGGTGCCCAGGGGTTGCTGCTGTCCATCCAGCCAGCTCAGCATGGCACGGGGCTCGCCTCCAGGCCACTCACAGCTCAGCATGATGAACTGGTCTCCAACTGTGGCTGTGGTCCAGCAGATGGGGCTCCGGAGGGGTTCCCCTGGATAGGGAATAATGGCTCAGCCTGGCCCTACAGGAGGAGGAAGGGCTTGGTAGGCCTACTCCACCCCACCCCTCCTTCCTTCATTTATTGCTCACTCACTCATTCCTCCATTGACTCAGTAACTCGTTCATCCATTCATCATTATTGAGAGCTGGCCATGTACCAGAGAAATAGTGAGAACAGACACCAAGCAAACAATGACAATATAATTTGATGAATGCTAGAGTACAGGTAGAAAGACAAACTTTGTGGGGCTTTAGGGAGAAGCACTTTGAAGATAGGATGGCATCTGAACTTGGTCTTGGGGGGTGGGTAAAAATCTCCAAAGCGGAGAGAAAGCTAAAGGCACATTTCAAGGCCAACATGCAATAGGGCAGTAGAAGTATAGTGTAAGGTCAATGACAGCCTGCTGACCCTGGAGGCTGGGAGACAGGAAGGCGTCACAGGGCTCCAAGCCCAAACTGCGGAGGACAGGGCAGTGTGGCTGGACGCCCGGCTGGAGTGGAGAGGAGGTTGGAAGCGAGAGTCAGAGCTGAGTGCTGCCCACCTCCTTGCTACATGGCAAGTCTTGGAGTTTGAGATCTGGAGCCGCATCCCAGGTCCCAGGGCTCCATTAAGGCTCTCCCCTGGCTCCCACCCACGCCTCTGCCTGGAACATCCGAGCCCTGCTGTGTCCTATGTCCACTCACACAGCGTGATCCTGCAGAGGGCGGGCAGCGCCAGGGCTGGGTGCTCGCCGGCACAGGTGAAAACGCCGCCGTTAGGGAGCTGGGTGGTGCCACGACTCCAGGTGATATTGCTGAGAGCAGCAGGGCCAGTTCCCCGGGGCCCTTCCCACCGCAGCCGGGCAGCTGGGAGCCCCCCCTGCCAGGCGCAGACCAAGGTCACAGCCCCAAGGGTGGGAAGCGCAGAACAGGAGGGCTGCCCCTCAGGGGGATCTGGGCAGAGAAGTGGGTGAGGATGGGGCTGGACAGACTCCGCTGCCAGGGCACCGTGGCCCCCGGGCCCAGTTTAGAGGCCCGGAGGCCACAGGGTCAAGGGTAGGAGAAGGAGCGAGAAGTGGGTGGGAGGGAAACGACTCGATCTCTCTGAGGGGCTGGAGAGCAAAGAGCTGAGCTCTCAGGTCAGGGGCAGGAGCTGACGGGGTGAGCGGGAGTTCAGAGCCCCTGAGGAATCCCAGAGGCCCGTGGAAGCCCCCAGCGGGGAAGTTTCCCCATTGCCTCTTCTTTGCCACTGGGTGCTTTGCCTCACGGTCATTTCTCTACCCTTCTCTGTGCCTCAGTTCAGTCCCCAAGGCTGTGGGAAGAATCACTTGGGGATGAGGTCGACATAGGGTCAGGGGCTTCCTCTCTCCCTGTCCCTTCCCACAGCTTTCTCAGCCTGTCCCCCTGCTCTCCACCTCCTGACTCCCACACCTCCCTCCCCTACAACGTCTACACCGCTTTCCACAGGGCGCCTGGAGTCTGCCAGAACACAGGGCTGTGGTGGTCCTGGCTTTGAGCGGCCCCTTCCCCCACACTCACAGTAGATGGTGAGCCTGACGGTGGTCTGGCTGTGGGTGTCCAGGCGGCTGTTGTGGGCCAGGCAGGTATACAGGCCTGTGTGGGCACGGCTGGCGCTGGCGATGGTGTAGGCGGGCCCCACTTGGACCTGAGTGTGGTCGCGGAGCCACACGTAGTGACAAGGGGGGTTGGATGCAGCCCGGCAGCTCAGGGTCACCTCTTCCCCCTCGCCGGCCCAGAAACCCTCCTCAGTCAAGCCCAGTGGCTCCACCGTGATCACAGGATTGTCTGGACCATCTGGGGGGCAAGGAAGACGCGTCACATCTCTCCAGTCTTCATTCCCTGACTCACTCATGTAATCGTCACCGAACTCACCAAAAAGCTCTTACTATGGACCTACTATGTCAACCACTGGGCTAGGCCCCCGAGGAGCTCAGAGTCTGCGGGCCATAGGCACCGTCCAGTGTAGGTGTTCAGGGTCCGTGGAGGCAATCACCCTAGGCTGTGGGAGGCTTCCCTGAGGGACTGAGTTTGGGGTACGACAAGAGTTGGCTAGGCAGGAGGGGGGTGCCAACCTTCCCAGTTTGCCCAGGATGGAGGGGCTTCTTGGGACTGGGACCGTTGGCCTTTGACTTGGTCCAACTTGGACCAATTTGGACCAACTTGCTGCCCTCTCTCCCTATTGTGTCCCTCCTCCCTGTTTCCTCAGGCTTCAGTTGGTCCCGAGAGACCTTCAGGTTCAGCCCAGAGGCAGGCTCTGTGGGCCATCCCCTTTACCGTAAATATGCGTAAAATTGTGACTCTGAACGTACGCCCATTTTCCTGGGAAGGGGGGCCCATGAGCTTGAAAAGGTTAAAACCCCTGTCCTAGACCTGTATTTTGTACCAGCGGGTCCAGTGCCCTGATGTTCTTGCCTCCTGGCCCTCCTGATGGCCCTGAGGTGTGGCAGGAGGCAGAGTGCAGAGTGCAGACCAGGTGCCCCCCCCTCCCCCCACCGATCTGACTCACAGACGACATCGAGGAAGTTTCCATCACTGCTCAGCCGGTTGACGGCGTTGCGGGCACTGCACGCGTACCAGCCCAGGTGCGTCCTGTTGACTGGGTCCAGCTGAAGCAGTTGCCCTGTGACCTCCACCAGGTCCTCCTCAGGGCCTCGAGGTGCCTGATGTCTCCAGGCAAAAGTCACAGGCTCTGTGCCCTCCCGTACTGCACATGTGGCCACCACGGAGGTCCCCTCCACTGGGGATGGGTCACTCAGTCTCACCTGAGGCTTTGATACGGGCACTGGCCAGGGGAAGGAGAGGCCTTGTGTTTGTTATCACAGACCCAGGCCATGCCTGGCTGTGTCTCACGGCTCAGCACTTGCTGGCTGGGGGTTGGCCTGCCCATGGGGCCCTGACCATCCCTTTCCTAGGACCCCAGGTTTTCTCGCCCCCCCCGGAGGCAAGGACCAGTGGAACCTGGGCCCGCCCCAATGCAATGAGAAGCAGATGCAAATAGAGGCTAAAAAGCATGCAGAGCAACCCAGGTCACCCGTCCCAGCTAGACTCCTCACCCAGCACGGCCAGAGTGAGGTAGGAGTAGGTGGTGTGGAGCTGGCCACCGGCCGCGTGCAGGGCCTGGCACAGGAAGTGGCCACGGGCGCCCTCCTGCAGCTCCTGAAGCACCAGGCTGCTGTTCCAAAGACTCACGGCCCCCAGCGCGGAGGCCCCGGCCTCCACCTTGGACTCTGCTCCATTGGTGACAGCCACAGGTCGGGGAATCAGCGAGCCCAGGGGAGTGAAGCTCCAGAAGACCACCAGGGGGGCGGGCCCAGAGCCACAGGCCAGCTCCACAGAGCCGCCCCGCACTCCTTGAATGGCTGTGGCCTCCTCGTCAGGGGCTCTGCGTGTCAAGTGGGGCTGCCCTACGGACAGAGTGGGAATTCAGGACATCTGGGCTGTGCTGGGCTCTCCTTCCTCCCCTCCTCGGGCCCTTCCTCCTTCTCCTCCTTGGAGTTAGTGGGGAAGTGACAGTGTCTGAGGGAGCTTTGGAGTTTCCTGTCTGGTCGTGCCAGAGCAGGCAGCCTGGGGGAGTCCTTGCCTGAGATCAGGGAACAGACTGGAGCTGAGGTTCCCATCCCCAGGTGCCGGCAGACCACTGTGGAAGACTGATAAAAATACATATTCCTGGGCCTCATCTCAGACCACCCACTCAGAATCCCCAGGCATCAGGGCCCAGGAATCTGTATTTTTAACAAACATCTAGAAGTCAGTCTGATGATCAGCCCGAGATGGGAGATCTACACGGCCACTGGTAATCGAGGCTGTGGGGGTCTCTGTGTAAAGATGCCAGGGGGATTCCAGACCCACTACGGCAAAGGGAAGATGACCCCAGCCTGCCATCAGCCCATCCAGCACGTATGCATCAACTGCTAATTACAGAGTACCTGCTCTGTACCAGGCACCAGGGTTACAAGGACAGATGAGCCGCCCCAACCCGGTTCTCATGGATCTTTCTGTCTATCGGGGAGTCTGACATTAAACAGCCATCACAGAGTAAGGCTGTCAACAGGTGTTTTTTTTCTGCTCAGGACCTAGTACAGAGCCCCAGCATCTGCCTGAGGACCATGTTCTCCTGTCTCCTGTGGCCAAATAATGATACTGTGCTGGGCTTTGGCACATGTGGATGATGATAGCACCTCAGAAGACAAGCAAGGAAGGCACAGAATATCTGCTGACCTTGACTGTAACGATAATAGCATCCCCTGAGACTCTGAAGCACAAAATCACGGTCTAAAAACACATGGCAGGTGGTAGAGCTGGGATTGGAGCCTGGCTCCCAATCTCAGACTCTTTCCACAGCTGCCAACTTCTCCAGCCAGAAGAGAAGACAGGCACGGAGCTGGAGGGAAGGGATCAAGGGCCAAATTCTGCTCTTCACTTGAGCAAGAAGCAAAACAACCCAGAAACTGGTTCTTCCCAACCCTGTGGACACTGCTGTGGCCCCAGCTACCAGCGTCTCTCACCTAGCCTATCTCCAGATGCTCTCAGCTCCCAGGAAACCATCTGTCTTGAAGGGAATGTTTGGGGGGGGGGGGGTGTGTGCCTGGGTGGCTCAGTTAGTTAAGCGTCTGGCTCAGGTCACGGTCTCGTGGTCTGTGAGTTCGAGACTCGCATCTGGCTCTCTGCTGACAGCTCAGAGCCTGGAGCCTGCTTTGGATCCTGTGACTCCCCCTCTCTCTGCCCCTCCCAGCTCATGATCTATCTCTCTCAAAAATAAACAAACATTTAAAAAATTAAAAAATAAAGCGGGGGGCGGGGGGAACATTTGGAAGCCCAGATCTGACCATGTCGGTCCATGCTTACAACCCGACAGTGGCCCTCAGGATAACCCCAGGCTTCTGAAGGTGTTCCGGCCCTGCCTCCCCCACTCCTGGCACATAGCGGTCGCTCAGGGAGAGCTGGTTAAGGCCTAGCAGATGAACAAAGTGGATGGACTTGGCAGAATGGCCACAAAAGTGTAAAAGGGAGATCCCAAAGAGGAAAAGGAAGAAGTAATAGGATGTGAGGGGGGAATGGGCCCCCGTGAGGGGTGGTCTGAGTATCACTCACCCGAGGCCCCTCGATGCAGAAGGCAGAGGGGTGTCAGCAGCAGGAGACTGAGTGGTTTGTGCAGAGCCCTCTGACGCACCATGGTCTCATCTCCCTGGGTGGCTGTCCATGTGGGGCTCCTGCCTGACTCTCGGGAGCTCTCTCTCCAGAGCAAAGCCCAGCCCTGGAAAGATTGGGGGTCTGGCTCGGGTGGCCAACCTCAGCCTTCCGACACCACCATCCCGCTCTCCTGTTACCCTCACTGTCCCAATGACAAGTGAATTATTTACCAGATGATTCACTCCATCCATAATGCAGAGATGGGAGGGCAAGACCTAGCTGGGGCACACACCTCGGGGACAGCCCTGAGCTCCCCTGGCATTTCCATTTCAATGAGAGTATAACGTTAGAGAGTCGCTGAGCATAAAGTTGAAAACAGCCCAACCACATCAAGTGCAAGCACCTGCCCGGCACAAGCCCCCCCGTATGCAGCCCTCCGGACCTCAGGGACAAGGACATCAAAACACGTCATTGAATGCTTTTTGTCCCCCCTTGTGTTTTCCTCCTGTTTTGTTGGGAGAAGCTGGTAGAGGGCTGGAAGGAGCTCAGGAGTCCAACACAACGCCAGAGTTCGGGTTTGACTGTTGAGCTATGACACTTCTGGAAATTTCTGAACCTCTCTGAGCTTTAGTTTCTTCGCAGATAAAGTGGGATAATACCTTTTTTCTAAGGCTATTGTGAATATCAGATAAAAACCTTATATTCGCATATGGGGGGGCTTCTCGGGTGCTAGTAAATTCCTATTTCTTGACTTGAGTGGGGGTTACAATTGATCAAACTATCCACGTACACAAGCACGCAAATACTTGGGTCAGGCGCCCAGCGTGTAGTTGGTGCTTCCTTCACGCTCCCAGCTGGATCTGATCTATGAAGCATGGACCGGCTTTCCTGTTGCATAGCAGTCTCTGCCAGACAGCCTGACATGAGGTCAGTTTTCGGTCTTCTGGTGCAGGGTGAGGGATAGGGTGAGATTCCCGGACCCCAGTGGGATGGGGTATCTGGTGTCAGGTTCATCAGGGCTCGGCTGGGACAGAAGCCGTCAGAGCTGAGTGCCCCACAGGCTCCTCCTGGGCTCCGAGGTGCTCACCGGGGCACTCTCGGCTTCTCACTTGCCCCAGGCTAGTGGACAGACCCCTGTCCCACTTTCATTCAGTCATGGCCAAGGTCCTTCCACGCCCTCCTTTGGGTCATGAGCCTCTATTCCCTCCTAACTGGGCTTTGAACAGAATGACGGAGGGTCCCTGGGAGTCGGGCTCCCACAAAGCAGGGATGGCATGTTTTCCTGACACTACTGACCAGTCCGTATGGCTCACTCCTCTTGACCACCCCCCCACCCCAAACTGGGAATATCTTAATGTTCCTTTGGGAGCAAAAGAAATTCTTTGGGATCTGGCATTGCTGTCCGCCTCAAGATGGCCACAGGCCCTGTCTTTAGAGAAAACATGAGCATCCAGGCAGAATGAGTCAGGAAACCTTAAAGGATATTTGATCTTGCAGCAAGAATTTGTGCTGGCCTTGAAGTTAGCCAGAAGTTCCTCTTCTGCGTGTGGAATTGGCCCCTGCGGCCAGCCTTTTCTCACCCAGAGCCATCAAGATCACAGAAGATGTTAGGAATGCAAGCTGGTGCAGCCACTCTGGAAAACAGTATGAAGGTTCCTCAAAAAACTAAACATAGAACTACCCTACGACCCAGCAATTGCACTACTAGGCATTTATCCAAGGGATACGGGTGTGCTGTTTCGAAGGGACACATGCACCCCCATGTTTATAGCAGCACTATCAACAATAGCCAAAGTATGAAAAGAGCCCACATGTCCATCAATGAATAAATGGATAATGAAGATGTGGTATATATATACAATGGAGTATTACTCGACAATCAAAAAGAATGAAATCTTGCCATTTGCAACTATGTGGATGGAACTGGATGGAACTGGTATTATGCTAAGTGAAATTAGTCAGAGAAAGACAAAAATCATA